AATGAGCAACAATATATAAGTGCAAATGACAAGTCTCGGTTAGCCTAACGCAGTACACGTAGCAAGGTGTGTGTGTGTATATATATATATATATATATATATATACACAAACAAAGAAAAACAAGTAGAATAGAAAGCTAGAGTTTTTTTTTTTTTTTTTTTTTTAAAAAAAAAAAAAAAAAAAAAAAAAAAAAAAAAAAAAAAAAAAAAAAAGCCTGAATAATAGTACCTCTGATACAAGCATGTGAACCAAGGGTCATGAATGCATTTTGTAAGACCACACAGTACAAAAACCTGTTTTTTTTTTTTTAAATAATTAAAATGTCCTTATGGGCTGAGGGAGACTGTGGCGTTAAGCGGGCTGTAAGGGTATACAGCCCACCCCTACCCCGCCTTCATGGCAAACCATCGGTGCCATAAACATCCAACGGTTCGTTTCTGGGTCATACATTTCCATAGAGCTGAGATTGGACTGTCCATCATAACCTCCCACTGCATAGAGTCGACCACAATTGGCCACCAGAGAAATGCGGCTGCGTCGAGTGTTCATGGCCACTAAGTGGCTCCACTGATCTGCTACTGAGCTGTACACCTCTGCTCCACTGAGGAACGCGGAGCCATCGTAACCTCCTGCCACATACAGATTGCTGCCCAAGGCTGCAGCACCGTGCCGACATCGCTTATTTATCATGGGAGCGACAGGATGCCATAATGCTGTATGATGGTTGTAGTACTCCACCTAGTGGCAGAAACATGAAACAACAAGGTTATTTTCTCAAGGCCTATAGATTTCACAATGTTATATTGTAGCATTTCGTAACTTATATCCTGAAAAGATTAGGAAAAATAACTGTGCAAATTGCATCCTGTAAATTGAAAGATGTTTACTTACCGTGTTGAAGATCTGTAGACCATCATGACCACCTGAAACATATATTCTGCCTTCAAATACAGTAACACCAGCAGCACTGCGGCTTACGCTCATTTCTGTAACTATTGTCCATCTGGTAACAAACACACATAAACACATGAAATCAGACTCATTCTGATTCCAAAGAAAGCTACAATAATTGTTGAGACAGAAAATAAATGAACACCTAAATGGATAGTTTAATAAACAGAGAAAAATAGGGCTGTCACAGGCCCAATACCAGTGAAAGGATTTTCAATACCAAAACCAATCTGCTATTGAACACGTCTTTACTTAAAACATGAAATATTAATATATTAATAAATTAAATAATGAAAATAAATATAGCTTTTAATATGTAAACACTTAATCCTTCAAGTAATCGGTTAGTAATACATTCATTTTACACATCCCTTTTTTTTTTTTAAACATATAGTAAGAATAAGAATGGTATATAATAAGAATATAAGTCCAAGTAGTAAGTTAGTAATAAAATCAGGAACGGAAAAACAAATCATTAGCAAAGGAATAAATAATATTAACAGCATTATTATTTGAGCCTATTAGGCTGCATTTACATTTTGTATCTGCTCAAATATTGAAGACTGTGTGATTCAACCTTTTGAATTAAATATAGTTTGGCCAAGATTAAACAAGCATTTAATTATAGTGTTGTGTGTAACAACAATTGCCAGGTTGTTGGCGCTCTCTGCAGGCTAGAAAGTGTTTCCACAATCATTGTTACATTACAAGTAACGATTTCAAATTCAACTGATTTGTATGATGCTAATGTAAAAGTATTTTTAATTATTATTAATGGTCTCTTTTATAATATAAAACAGCCTCATGGGCACACATACTATTACATTATGCATTTTAACGTGTATTATTATGTATGTTCACATATGTTAAATATGTATTATTCAAAATTATCATAACATTTTAGATATTCTTGTTCCACATTGTTTTTATACATGTATTTTAAGTTCTTCTTAGTTTTTTTTAAACAAATTATTTTCCCTTCCTAATTACTTGATATACAAATTACCAGTAATGTAAGGTGACAGCCCTACATTAACCCTGAATTTTTCTTGAAGAATGTATGACTTACCTGTCAGTCTCTGGAGAATAGCACTCAACCGAATTTAGAGAAGATTTGCCATCATATCCACCACACACATATATATGCCCATCAACTACGACTGTCCCCATTGCACTAATGCAGAAAGAAGAGAATAGCAGAAGCATCGGATATATATCACATGTACCTAAAACTCTTTGCAAAACCTTAAAAAGAATTGAAAAAGTTGTCACTGAACAATTAAATAGCTTTCCAAAGAAAAAATATTTCCCTCACATATTAAATATGACAATTTTAGGATTTCCTACCTGCGTTGAGTATTCATGCTAGCAACTTTGGTCCATGTGTCAGTTTCTGGGTTGTAAACTTCTACAGTTCTAAGCCG